CATTGGAATAGGCTGGGTCGTAAATGCGTATCTTTGTATCAATTAATTCAGAATTGCGTTAGTTAAACAGCGATTCTATTTTTAGTTAAAATGCTGGTTTTCTCTTGAACTTCCACAACGCACCGGCGCTCCCTTGTTGGGCTCCCGTAGGTCAGAAGTGCGACGTGAGTCCTCTCCTTTTCGCCGCACCTCTCCACAGATAAACACAGAAACATGGCAGTCAGACGCAGGATGGGAGCACGGTCCGCAAAAGAAGGCACAGTTGTCTCGGTTGTTTGGAACTGGTTTGGTTTTTGGTGGCGTCCTTGATCACGGGCGATAGCAAGTACGCAGCGACACATGCAAAGAGTTGTGGTCTTGGAAAGCTGGTGTGGGCAACCAAAGGTTTAAGCCAAGGGTCACTTGACCAAATGATTATTCCGAGGCACTCTAAGCGCAGAGGCGAGGTGGTGCAGCAGGCAGTGGGGAACAACTGGTACTGCTGCTCTGCGAGAGGTATACAGGACCGCTCCCAGCCACCAAACACCCGCGGCGTAGAAGAGATGAGCACAGTATCTAAAATCGATTAAAATCGTAAATCGGGTTTGGTGTGAAAAAATCGGAGATTTTATTTTTAAGCCATATCGCCCAGCCCTACATTGAAACAGTTTTGACTTTCTGTAACCATTGTTCACACTAGCCTTTTAAGAGATGACCTCCTAATACTCTTACAGTATAAGTGATGGGGGACAAAAGGCACAGTCCTTATTCTGTGCAAAAATATATTCCACTGTTTAGTTAGATTACTCAAGTGTATATCTTCCAAAGTTAGTCATTCGGGATGAAATTCCTTCTTTGCATTTCAAAAGTTGTTTCCTTGTTGATTTGCAGTGGAGTGATAGTAACACCAACATTTCATACTAAAAAGACTTTTTAGTTAATTTAGTTTAATTTTGGAAGATAACAATTTGATCTGTCTAACTCAGACTGGATTTTTCCCCATCACCTACACTAAAATGTCTTTGGGAAAGGATCTCTCCAGAGTCAGTATGAACAGGAGGAATAATGACTGCAAGCCAAACCTGTTTCTGTTTTCATATGGGCACCTGACTATTATTTTATGACCAAAAAAAAAAAAAATGTCAGTTTAGGTTGGGTTAGAGAGATTTGCAGCTCCAGTCATTCCTATTTACTGGAGCTTATTCTCTCTCCACTGGGCCAATAAGCAGGAAGTTAGCACTGGGTTATTAGTGTGAACCTTAATGAATTTCTTACCTACAATAAGACACATAATGGTTGTTATGTAATAACACCAATTGGAACAGGGTAGCTAGTTGTGGAGGCTGGTTGTTATCATCTGGCTGTGATTGTGGATCTGTTATATTGGTAAAGCACACTAATCAGGATGAAGTTTCTGTGATAAATATATGTATTTTCTTTCTATAATGTAGGTCCATCCTTATAATGGCATGGAATTTGTGCCATGTTTACGCAGCAGTAGTATTATAGTAGTATAACACAGACAAAACCAGAACTTCCAGAATCTTGATGTGATGTTGATCTAATGTATAATGCGTTTTATATTTACTCCTCATTTATGCACAAAGAAATTGCCTTTGTTAAGTGTAGGAGTAACAATTACTGTACATGATCTTTTTAAGATCCTGCACTTCCCTGAGGAATTAGTTTCTTCTTTGCTTTGATGTGCATCAGCTCAGGTTGATGTGTTTTTGATGTGGTGAGGCTGCTGGTGTTCATTAGTTTGGCTGCGATAATGGTTCAAGATAATCAAAAGCTTTCAGTGTTGTCAGTTTAATGAATATTTAATAAACCGTAAGCTTTATTTTTGAGTGCTTGTGCTAGCTCTGGTATTAGGACAAAGTATTAGCTAAGGTAAAACTAAACATACAATCATATCTTTAATCACAATCAATCTCTACATTACTGTAATTATCAACAAAAGAGATAAATACAGACAGTATTTTCAGCTTCTACCAGCATCTACACTGAATTTTATATAATGTGACACTTGGTTGGACATGGCAGGAAATTGATTCTTTATTGGGACAAAAGGATACATACATCAGACAAATAAATATGAGCTGTTGTTTCAGTGCTAACAAAACAATGTATCAGAGTCGTGCACAGATTAGCTGTGTTTCCATCAACCTATTTTCATGAACATTTTGATGTATCGCATTCACACTCACTTCAGGTGGTTTTTGCCTTTTTCAAAAAGGAGTTAATGTGCTTAATTGAAGATGGAAAGACTTTCCGAATAAGTTTTTACTTAGTGGAAATTTAAGTCACATGACTGATCAGCTGTTTCCTCTCCGATAGTCTCCCCATCACTCCCATGGCGCTATAATTCATCCATGATCACTCCAAAAGGTCTGATGTCATCTTCCTCACATTAATACATAAACAAACAAGGTTGCCAACTACTGCTTATCTCTTGAACCAACTCCTAATAATTGCATAACAGTGGTGGATGGAAAGCATTTGCATTTTTGTTGGATTTTCCTGGAAATCCGGTTATGGATCGTGGAGTGTCATGGATGGAAACGCGGCCGTTGTGCATTAAGTAGAATCTTAATGGAAGAATACGGTTACAGTCCTTAAGCTATGCCATACGTGTGACTTCTATGTGAATTATACGAATTCATTATTTACTTCAACATAGTTCAACTCTGGAAAGGTGGTCTGTTACTAGCAAGATTGTTCAATAGCTGCATCTTTTGCAGAGTTCACATGGCTTGCACTCATAACTGAAATGGACAGTCTCTCTTTAGTTGAACCAATGCCCAGTTAAGCGAAGAACTCTGGTCTGGGATCAGCATCGAGAAAAGATTGTGTGCTCCTCTTCTCAGTAATATTTTTTGGTTGTCTTGCATCACCTCCTCTAACGGGAAATAGAACCTAGTACTTCTTTGGTCAAACTCTTGTGTCTAAAAGATACGAGTGCCCAGTTATAGGTCTGGCCTCAAATAATCACAGCGTTTCAGAATACTATTTGTGATAAGAAATTAACAGATCTATTCTATGTTAGGTACCATGTTTGTATTGTTGACACATTAGTTTGGTTTAATTTAATATTATTGCATAATCTGTGCAGGCTATAAAACCAACTTCATATATGTGTAGTTTTAGATAAATATTTGACTAATTGACAATATTTACTCACTTTTGTAGGTACCCCATCTGGAGCGCTAGCTTCCTACTCTAGTGGAGGAGGTTACTCGTCTTCTCTCTCTCTCTCGCAGGGTGGAGGTATCTATCTTTTTTTTATTCTTAATTCTGTTTTTCCATCACACTGTCTCTGCTGTTTTATGTCATACTGATGGCCTGTCTCTTATCATGTCCTGCTATGAATTTCTGAATGTGCCAGATCTGGAAAAAAAATATTTTTTTCAGAGTAGCCTCAGTGGTTAGTTCAACTATCAGCTCAATTAATAGATTAAATAAATACCGGCCATAGGATAGTCATAATTATAAAATGACTGTTTCATCATTGTTGTCGTGTGATGCAGTAACAGGTCATGCACATAATCAAAGTTATTAGCCTTGAATATCATGGAAAATCTGGTGACTATGATTTTTTCTGAATTCCAGTTCTTAAATGTTTTGAATATAGTTGAGTATAGTCTTAAAAATGTTTCTTGGTACTGTCCCTCTGTAATAAATATAAACAGTCTACAGTATACATAGTATGTATGTATGTAGTGTGTAGATATATATGTAATTTGCCATGTAAAAGGAATGAAATGAGATTTGTGGTTGAAATAATATTGATTGCATTGTTGGTTGAATTGTCTGTGCATGGCTTGATGAGAGTTTGGCCACTCCCCTCTTATCACACTAACTGCTGCCCCCTTTGGGCCCGTGTTTAACTATTTAATGGGAAGAATGCAATACTAATCTGCATTTTGAATGTATTATTCATTTCATTATAATTAAGAAGCCAAGCCTACAAAACAAATCACATTTTCTCTGCATAGTGATGTAAAATAGATAATCATAGGGTTCTGGCTTTCCTTATTTTGAAGTTATTATAGTTATACATGATCATTTAGGTTTTAATTACATTTAAGTGGGAGAGGGTGCATGATCCTCAATTAAGGTTAGTACATATTTGGAGTAAATCGGTATGAATTGTTTAACCTCAAAGCTTAAACTACTCAGGTCTAAATAATGGCCTCTACATTAGTGTACATAACTTTGTTGACCATTTATATCTGCGGGCAATTCCAGCAAATGCAACTTTTTCAACATAACTGTAAATATAGTATTGTATGTTTTGATCAAGATGATGTTGCTTAGGTTTTATTGCACAATAATGATGTAAAGCTTGCTAGCTCATTAGCTTAACCAAGCTTAAATGACATTCAGCATACTACCATGGCATAAAGCACATCACTGTCTTTGTTAGCTGTAGCACTCTGGGGTGATTGTTTAACAGAGTAGCCTGTATTGCCTTTCTCTATTGTATCAATCCATTAAATCTATTAAAGAGGAATTATTAGTCTTGACAGAAGCCCATGTAATATGTTTTCATTGTTGAAGTTGAGTTTTGTCTTTGTAGTGTTATAGTTTTAATCTGCTTTTCTGTTGTTGTATTGCATGTGTGATTGTGACCTGGTTATTGTCTTATGTTTTCCTAACAGGAGCCATTAGTCCATTGAGTGCCGCAGCGGCGGCGGCAGCAGCTGCGGGTCGGGTTGCTCTGTCTGGGTCCGGAGTGTCAGGGGTCCTGTTGGCGTCCAACCTGAATGAAGAGGTACACTAACCATAAGCATAACTGTGAATGAGTGTTTGCAATCTCTACTTTTACACTCATTTAAGCTGTGATTTTGAGTTGGTAGCAGTGTGAATTCCTGTGTGAGCATGTGGTTGTATGTATGAGTTGCCCTCTTTATAGCACAAGTAAAGAGCATCTTCCACCTAGATGTAATCCGTGTAGTACAATTACAGTAGATTCACAGGGTGACTCTGGGTCATAAAGTTTCGAAGTATGATACATTGTCTTAAACACTTAAAAGTGTAAAAGTAAAAAAAGTAAAGTGTGTTACAAAATGGTGTTGTTTCTTTACTGTACACTGAAAACTCACTGTTCAACCTTTTTTTGGCAAGGAAATCTTCATTTATGTTCTAGAAAATTCACACAGGATAAACATTTCGCTACATGTCACTCACTTCTCTAGAGTGTGTACATAGATCCTATTGGAACATGACAAGCACTAGCAATTACTTCATGGTCAATTCATCTTGCCTTAAAGAACAGATTCAGAAGACTACCATCCCTGTTACTGATTCTATCGGGCTTAACTTGGAGCAGCTCTCTGATTTTGACATTGTTTACTTACTGAGAAATCAAACCTTGTGAATTACCCTTTGCTCTGATATGTGTGTGTGTGTGTGTGTGGATTCTCCAGATTGATTTTTCTTCTCCATGAACTTTCACAGGTCCAAAACTTAACGTCTTAAAATATTTTCAACTACCTTTTACAACTCTGTGAGATCTTAAAGGTTCAGTTATGTTTTTAAAGCCTCTTGGTTTTCTCTAAACTGAACACCTACATACTTCTATACTTTATCTTACATTTCTGTTTCCTGTCAAGTTTCAGTGTATTCTCTGATTGTAAATGTGCACCTACTCTTTCATCTGTATCTCTATACCTGCAATATCTGTTTGCGTGTGTTCCATCTATCTATCATTCTACCTCTCTGTCTGTCTTTGTTACTCCATAGTGGAGTGGTGGTTTCACACTTGTGCCCCCTTCTGGTAAAGTCTTGGTTCAACAGCTGTATCCTGGCTGTTTCTCTGTGGTGAGCTTGAGAGCAGCAGCTCCTGCACACACGTCTGCCAAGTACAATCCAGTGGCTAGGTAGAGGTTGAGTGTGGTGTGGCCATTCTTCATGTTGAGAGTGTTTGAATCCAGGGGGTTGTTTTTCAGTCACTTGTTCATCCTTTCTCAACTTTCTCAACAGATTTTAATCATTTTCATGCAGTACATGTACCCGGTTTCCTGGTGGCATAGCAATATAAACCCCAAACAGAGACTAACATTTATTACTGTACAGTTCCAGTTTGCTTAAGTAGTTAAGTGCAAGACCCACGCAGAATATTTAAATTCTGGTAAATCATTTGCCAGTGAGGATGAATTATGTGATATCATGTCTATTTCTAGCACAGCTGCAACTGAACTGGACACAAGAAAATTCTTTGGTTGGTCTAAATGTACTGTAAGGAGTTTTAAATTGGTTATGAAACAGTCTCAGTTTAATACTAATGGTCCTATATGACCTACATAAATAAAAACAAGACCATCATAATAAATAATAATTTAGAATTTTGATGGCAGTATTTAAGTTGACATGTCGCAAACTAACGCAGTATGCTGATCATCTTATTCAAAGGTGATTGCTTTATTGCAGATGATTTATCACAGGTCTCATGTGGGATGTTGGACATCCTGCTGAATCAAATAAACTAGGGATGCACCGATGCCACTTTGTTCCGACCATTTCCGCCATGTTTCTACAGCTGCCAGCGGTGTACAGTTAGTTGCAATCTGCAACTTCACCACTAGATGCCTCTAAACCCTACACACTGGTCCTTTAAATGTTACTAATTTTGTAAAAGTTGTGTAAAATATCTCCAAACACATTGACATTGTTTCTCCTCCACCTGCTGTAAATCAGATGTGGTATCAGAGTGGTTTTATGATAATAATTATAATTAAATATAATTCACAAAACTAATAATTTTTCTATCTTAAAACAATGAAAATATCTTTGCTTTAAAGTATCACAATTAAAGGAGCATTGTTAATATACACTTGTTTACTGTCAGTCAGTTTTACCTCCACTTATATTTGATCTGGTTGGCCACTTGCTTCATGGTACTGCCCTCTTTTGGTTTGATATCTCATGACACTCACTTTCATCCACTTATTTATTTCATGCTTTTTTACATCCTCAAGGTTATTACTTTCTACCTCCCTCCCATCCTTTCTTTTCCTCACTGATAAATGCATCCAGCAGGGAATGTGTGTATGTGTGTGTTAACAGAACTGGAAGAATTGTGGGTATGTGTGTGTGTTTGGAATCGAACCAGCAATCATTCAGACTCCGTTGATGTTCCACTGATGCTCTGTTTACTGACCTCTGCTTTGGTTTTTGTCCTCCTCTCCTCCTTTCTCCCTTCCCTGCCTCCTTTCTTTCCTCCTCTGCTCCTCCCTTCATTTATTTTCTCTCCATTTGGCCATACATCCTTTAATGTTGTACACTCCTCTTAAAACCCTCCCCCTCTCATGTACGTTTACCCAACAAAATTTTCACCTCCTTTTCCTCTCCTTACTTTTCTTAATCCGGTCTAACCCGACTTTGGGTTTGCTGTTTTGACCACCCTCCCCCAAACTCCCCCATGCCTTCCATCTTTGCTCCACCCCGCATCATCATGGAAACCACCACTTCCCCCCTCGTCCAACGCTGGGCGGTCTGATCTCTACCTTCGTCTCTCCTCTTCCTCCTCCTCTGCTCCTCCTCTTCCTGTCCTCTGCTCTGCGGTCTCTCTCTCTAAAGATGGTCACGCCTCAAAGTCTCTTTACCCTCTTCGGTATGTTCAACCTCTACTATTCTATCTGTATATCTCTCTCTGTTAATCCAATTTTGTTCACTTTCTTCAGTGATGTCGTGGACACGCTATTCCTCTGTGTTTTTCTGTATCTCCAAGCCTCCCTCAATCATATTGCACACTACAGAGATAAAATCTTCTTCTGTCTCTACATTGGAAGAATAGTGAGTCTGAGAGATTGTCTGTTTGGTCAGCGTATCTATTAAGTGATGAGAACAAAGACACCAAAATCATCCATGTGTTGTCTAAGTTAGACAATAAGTTACAAAGTGCTTTTGACCGACAAGTGAAATCAGTATACACAGAAGATAATGTAACAAACAGAGAAAGAAAGGCCAAACAAAAGAAGATAAAAACATGGTAGGGAAAATGTTGATGATGATAGATAAGGAAGGTGAAAGAGATAAAAGATTAAGCTTAAAAGACATGTAAATATAAATAAATACAAAATAAAAAGTCTAGTCTTTTTAGTACAAAATCTCTTCTTGTTGTTACTATCCCTCTCCAGGAAAACACGAGGGGAACACAAGAAGAGAATTTTGTTAAAAAAAAATAGTGTTATTAGGACACTTGATACACACTTAATTAGACTAACTCAGACTTATGTATGTAAAGATATTTTTTTAATATATTTTTGCACAGAAGGAGGACTGGATTTTGTCCCGCATCATATTCACTGGAAGCGGATTGGACAGGGATCTTTAAATGGTTGGCATGAACCGGAGCAATGATTACAGCAAGCAAAACCTGTTATTTTAATATTAATATTTTTTTAATACAGCCTTACCAATCTGCCCTGATTTTGAGTAAACAACAGATACTAATTGGCACAGCAACATTATTAGTGTGCTGATAGTACAGCAAAAATGACGAGGATCCAAACTGCTGCAAAAATCACGTTTGAACCAATTTCAAATGACACCCAATTCGTTGGAATGAATTCAAAAACACCTGTAGCCACATACAATACATCTGCATATCCTTGCATATAAATGTTGCTCTCTTATCAGTTGTACAAGCTTCTGGCAAGCGGCCTGCTGAAGCCAAGTGTACCGAATAGTAGCAGTCAGCAGAGGTTGTCTGTGGTGCCTCCGTTGCCTCACTTGGGTGGCAAGCTAACGTTTAGTGAGTCCATAGATTTGACACAGATTAGTGTCCTCTATTTTCTTAGTAAACAACACAACATTTACTAGCTTAGTTTACTGACAGATCAATAGGGCATGACAAAGGTCAAGCTGATAGTGGAGCGCCTTCTGCTTGATCACAAGGTAAACTACTTCAAACAGTGTGTTGTGCTCACAGACTGTACATTTTAAATTTAAAACAGGTCAAAATGAACCACATTCGAACAAATGTTTGAATTTCGACAACAGTGACAGCCCTAGAAATGAGTGGGGTTGTGTTCCGTTATGGATCCAGTACTGGCAAAATAACCGATTAGTTAAGCTCTGACACTAACAGACCTCTTTTATTTCTCATTTTGTAGTAGCAGAGAGCAACATAGAAAACATTCTTTCTCGCAGGTTTCACATGTTACTTCTGTAAGAAACTTGACAAAAAGACAGACAAAGATACTAATTTACTCTGAGTGGACTGTCTGGTCCAGGTTTTGGACTAATTCACTCAAATGTCAAGAGTTTGTCAGTCAGTAGAACACTGGAGCCTCCGGTCTATTAGGGACACATGGATCATTGTAGTGTTTATGTTCTCACCACATTGATCATGACAGTCCAGTGTACTCACTAAGACTCATTCTAGCTCTTAAAACCTCTGCATCTCTTCTTGTCTTTTTGCCTTTTTCTCTAGATTTTGTATGAATCAAGTGCAGTCATAGTTCACTTTTTCATTTTATTCTACAACTTTGCAGTTGGGATTACCTGCCACTCAATCACCTTAACTAAGCATATCATAAGGGTCACACTAGACTGTCAACCAGCCCAGTAATATTTACATTTTTGTCCTGACACATTGAACCAGTTTTAGCTACTCCCGGATATCCACAGCTTTTAAAAAGTCTAAAATGATCTGCATTTACTGTACATTTCTGTCTTAGATTAGTGCATGCCTTTGAAAAGGTTTTGAAAATGGTGTCTTTTTCCTACAATGTTCATATATTGTTTTACTTTTTTTTTTTTATCACCAATTTTCAAGCTGGATTTCTGAATCATGCACAGAACACTCCAAACAGTTTGAGGTGTATGTCAATGGTAAAGCTCAGCTGAGGTGTGTTTTCTCTCTGGTTGACAGTCGTAACATAAAAGCTCTCGGCTATACAGAATCATTTGATTGAGTTTCTAGTGGAAGTCAAATGGGAAGATTCCATCTTTTCTTTTCATGTGTCTTTCTAGCACTAACTTTATTCCTTCCATCCTTCACACCTCTCCTTCTTTTATCTTCGTTGGCTCCATCTCTCCTGCTCTGTCTGTTCTGTCCTCCTCCTCGTCTCCTACTCCACCCTGCTCTCTCTCTCTCTCTCTCTCTCTCTCTCTCTATCTCTCTTTCTCTATCTCTCTCGCTCTCTCGCTCTCTTCCCTACCTTCAGGAGTCTACGGTGATGTCCAGAGGGTAAAGATCCTCTACAACAAAAAGGACAGCGCTCTGATACAGTTGTCTGATGGCAACCAGGCTCAGCTGGGTGAGTTTTTGATTCATATGGATATAAAAAAATAAAAATAACTGATGATACTAAAAGAAGCACAGTTAAAATTTTCAAAATAAATCACGAGTCCAGATCGAATTTCAGGATTCCTCAACAATGTCTCCACCAGGCCAGTCTGTCAGAGCAGATTTTAAGCGAAGAAACACACTGTTTTGTTTCCTTTTTAAGACCAGAATACACAAGTCAACAGCGTAGGGCAGGAAACACGCTCTGAAGCGCCAGTCTCTTGTTTCCAGGATAATTGAAATGCTCACTTGCGCTTCAGCTCATAAACCTTGTCTTTACCCGCCGCTTTTTTTTCGTGAGTTGTTGCTTTTATTCTTCATGTTGCAGCTTTTTTTGCCTTTATCATACACCTTTTGTTTTATTCTGAATTGCAGACATAGTACACAATTATTAAATAGACAAACAGATTAAATACACTTTAAATGTATTGGGTTGTCTGTTTTGGCTGTGTTTCACGTTTTTTATGTATGTAGAATCAAGTTAAGATCTTGATGTTAAGGTTTACTTGTTGATCGCTCACTTCCTCATATATTTGGAACCACAGATATGATGTGATTGGAAGGATGTGGAAATGCTGTCAGGCTTTTTCGACTTTACACCTGCCTATACTTCGTGTTTTTCATCACCTGTAGCTATGAGCCACTTGAACGGTCAGAAGGTGTTTGGTAAAGTGATGAGAGTAACGCTGTCTAAACATCAGACGGTGGCTTTGCCCAGAGAAGGATTGGATGACCAACTACTAACGAAAGGTAAGAGGTTAGCTTGTCAGTATCTTTACACAACAAAGTGTGTCCAACACTATACAGGGAATTTGCACCTAACGTTATTGTCATTATGTCAATATTTGTGTTTGTTGGACAGACTTTTCTGGCTCTCCACTCCATCGCTTTAAGAAGCCAGGATCCAAAAACTTCCAGAACATCTTTCCTCCATCTGCAACACTTCACCTCTCCAATATCCGGTAGTACAACCGTTACACTTCTGAGTCAAATGACTCTCTTTTTTGTGTTTGTTTTTTAATCAGTGTCGGAATTGCTTTGACGTCATGTTGCTTTTCCTTAAGACATTAATAATTTGTCTTTGCATGTCTAGGGATGGAGTTGGAGAGGATGATCTGCGTCTTCTGTTCTCTAACAGCGGAGGAACCGTCAAGGCCTTCAAGTTCTTCCAGTAAGAAGCACTTCGATGAACACTCAAAAAGTCTACAAACACTTCAACATAAATCTTTTTTGAATAAATATATCTAGTGTAGTTTGTACCTAAAAGATTATTGGAAGTAAACAGTGACATGCAGGGAGAGAAGAAACATGAACATTTCTTGTTAGTTTCCATAACGACTGTTTGTCTCTGCCCTTTCCTCATCAGGGACCGTAAGATGTCTTTAATCCAGATGTCGTCAGTCGAGGAAGCGATTCAGGCTCTGATGGACCTTCACAACTACGACATGGGAGGAAATCACCATCTGAAAGTTTCCTTTTCAAAGTCTACCATCTAACCCTAACACCCGACTCCTGAACCTTAAGATCTATGACGAGCGAGGAAGTCACTACTATTTGTCTCCTTATTTTACATTTTCTGTTAACCTCTTCTGCGCTACCCCCAAACCTTTGATTAAGCAGTACAATATATATCTCTGAAACGTTCAAAACTTCAAATTCAAACTAAACCATTTGAAATAGTTTTCAGTTAAAATACTGAGAATCAAAATTCCACAAAGGACATTTTGTCATCCAGTAGAAGCAGTACGTGCTTCAGTCCTTACCACCAGTGGTTTAACGTCTCACCTTGCTTAATCTAAAAGTGTACTCTAGGGTGAGTCAGTACACCTTGACATCACAGTAGGGTGTGGTTATTAGTGCAATTAAGAACACTTCTGACCACAGCCGTCAGTGGTGCTGGTTGAATCCTTCAATCATAGGGGGTCAGTAAACTTTTCAGCCTGCTGTCACTCTATAGAGCAGTTTTAGTTCTTAATTGACTCTGTATCACCTATATCATTGCTAAGTGCAGATAGCTGGGGGGTTTTTTGTTTGTTTTTTTGTTGCTCTGCCCAGTGATCACCTGTCAGTGTCTCCTTCCTTGCATTTTCTGTCGAGGTTTACGTTCCATTAATTAATGATCTGTTATTTTTATATACATACATTGTGTCACGATTGTAGTCATGTGACTCCTCTTTCCTTTCCTGGTAGGCGGTCAACAGCTGCCATCAAATCAGGATGTCTTTTGAACCGTGCAGTTTCTGACACACACATTCTCAGTGTGCTGGTTTGCTCCTCCAAATCTCATCCTCATCATCTGTGCACTTTGGTGCTCTCAAAATCAAAACATACGGATATCTTGGACATTTTGTTCTAATCTACAAGCTTAAAAGAGTTGATGTGGTTTAAGTGTGATTCACACTGTTCTCTCATCCGCAATGTAAATATGACCTGTTTTACATTACCAGCACCCAATGATACTTTGTAGGCGTTTTAGCAACCTACACTAAAACAGCTTGTAGCTTTAACACAGATTCACTTTAAATGTAGTTTAAAAGCCAGACGTTAACTCAAGTTTGAGGACTTAAGTACACAGAAGTCCTCTAAGAAGCTATTTCTAAATTTCGAGAGGCAGCTTTTCTTAACTGCCGTACTTCCTTGCTGTTGTTCCCATAGCCGAACAATCACTTTAAATCTGTTTATTCATACCTGATTTGATCAAAAGTATCAAGTTCGTCATGGAGATGTTTAATGGAATTCTGTGAAATGGGAGTAGTAATTTGCAGAGGACAATTGAATACCCCTGATATCGCCTTTACAAAATAACTAGGAATGTATTGACATTAACATGTTGCTGACATGAAGTAATACTTCGGATCCAAAGTTGGAGTTTCCTTAATGAGTTGACCCTTCTTAAGTCCCGCCCCTTTTCACACAGGTGAGCAACCTTGGTCAACTTTCTCCTCTCCTGTACTTAGATATGCTATGTGCTAGGCTCATCGGTGTTGAAAAAACAACCAAATTTTGTAGATGCTCAAAAGACAAAAACAACATATCGAGAGATATATATAGTCACAGCTGAAGTTACGTAGCTAATGTTAGCAAAATACTAGCTAACCAGCTAGCTAATTTAATAAATAATTTAATTTAATTTACATTTACAAAATTTGGTTGTCTTTCCAACTTAGATTAGCCTAGCACGTAGCATATCAAAGTACAGGAAAGCAGATAGTTGACAGAGGTTCTGGCCGAGGTTGCTCACCTGTTATTGGAGCACAGAGCAAAAAGGAACGGGACTTAGGAAGGATCGATAGAGCTACCTTTGATGATCCTGTTTAAATGCCATCCCAGTCTTTCATGAACCTTTGCTGTGAGTGGGTGCACACACATACACAGGATGCATGCAAATGCTGTCTGTAGAGACAAGGTTTCAACATGTGATTCTGGTCTTGGTCTCTGATTTTGGGAGGAGACCTGTTGGGACCAAAGCACATGTGCCTTTAGTCTGATTTGATCTCTTCTGTCTTAACAGATTATTTTACTGGTAATGTTTGTTGGTTTTGTGTGGTAAACCTTTAGAAACAGATTATTTTTGTTAATTATTTTTAAATAGAAGTGAACCCTGTCCTCCCAGTCCTCTGTTTGTCTTAACAGTGTAAGCTTATATGTCAAGCAGAGATGCACAGAAAACTGGGTCACTGTTTGAACCGGGGTTATCTCCAAAGTGGGTTTTTATTTTTCACTCATCTCTGGTTCTTACTTACCGCTGTTTTTCTTTTAGGAGATTGTTGTACATTTTCTACTTGAGTTAATTTTATTTTGTGGTAAGATTTCAGATTGGCCCTAATTAAACGTGTCTTTTCTACCAACAAGCCCAAGTTAAATTGTGTGTGTGTTTGTGTGTGTTGGGACTAGGTTCAGGCCTCCACTCTCATCTGTATCTTACTTGTCAATAAACTTCTCTCACTCTGTTCGGTTCTGTCTTTCTGCTCTCACTTCTTCCTCTCCACTTTTCCCTCTTTTAGCTGTTTCTGTTCTTTCTACATTTCTGCTGAGGCCACCAGGGGAAGGATCACAAACTAATTTCTCATCTCTGCTCCTGCCTCTGCAAACAGGTGTTTCCCCCATTCAAACGGCTACACGGTGTTAGGATCTTGTAACACTTTTTACCTCATTAATGTGGTCTGGTTGGAACATAATCTGTGTGCTCAACCAAAGTACAACTTACTGTATTACCCAACAAGTGTGAACCTGCAGGGTGCAAAAAAGCAGAGGCCAGCAGCCTTTACTATCAAAAGAGCTATTTTTCTCGGGGCGAAAATACATATTTGAGTCTTACAATGCTGATTTCTCGCTGCAGATTAAGCATAAGCCAGCAGCATTGGTGGTGAAAGCAAAGAAATCTGTCCACGCACTGTTAAATTCTCCATTCTCTTCTGAGACTTTTTTTCTTTTTTTGGATTTGGAATCCATGGCTAGCCCAGCTAGAAGACTCAAGACTAGTAAATATTTGCCATATTGGCAAAATATAGCGGAAAAGACGCCAGGGTAGTACGTAACTTATGATTTTTTATTTTTATTTTTTTTAATTGGTGGTAATGACTATAGTTTTTACTATGGACTGCTTGCACAGCGGACACTTTGACCTGCCACAGGTGGACTAACTCAGTTCCATTAAGTGACAGCAGTAGTGACAGTGAACCATCATGCACAATGGCAGGTCCTAAGTGGAATGCAGCTATCATTAATACACCTGTGCAACCGAATGAATGAATGAAGATTTTATTTTTGTTTCTGCTCATTTTCAACACCGATCCCTCATGGGATTATTCAGACACATTAACAACAAAACAAACATATATTCTGGCCTGTTAACCCACCGCCATCGAACGACAAAATACATAAACAACAGCAAAATATAAACAGATAAATCTTATACAAATGACTTTCCAAAAGATATCCCACAATAGAAATACAATAAAGGCATAAACATACCAACACAGCCACTCATCGCACAGGACATAGTACACTAATTTGATTTATCTGTCAGATGTTGCTTTTCTCCTCCTATCCCATGCTTTAGAAAGATAGTTATGTGGCTCCGGAGCCACTGGTTGCCTACCCCTGATTTATGAACCTCCCATGCAGTTCTGTGTACATTACATCTCATGTCACACATGAAAACATTGTAGGGGTTCATTTTGCTCAAAACTCACTCTTTTTTCCTGCTTCTTCTTCTTGAATCTTAGCAAAAACCCACAAAACATCTGTGGAGTCTGACTATTTCAGTGCCATATGCTTTCATATTAATCACCACTAACCAATATCACGTAATTACTTCTGAGGCCAGTCTCCCTTAATGTACCCAGATATCCACCAGTATATTGGTGTGAATATAAAGTCATGCTGCTGACACTGAAATTTCCATCACATCCATTAAGTGGGACTTTGCAGCGCTGCTTTTATTCCAGACATAAAACTAAAGGGGGAAATGAGCACTAAGTAAAGCTCTCATCTGTCTGTTCTCTTCCTTTGATTTCTTTATCAAACAGCCAGTAATGAAGGTCTTATTATGGCACAGAGTCCTTAAAACAGGGGAAGACAGAGAGCATGAGAGAAGGGAGAAGACAAAAGAGAGTGTAAATATAGACTAATGGACTCATTCTGGTTGATTACCAGTCTTCAGTTTAATCAGGTTGATTGGGTCAGTGGAGCTGCTGCAGCCCCAGTAGCTGCACAGATTGGTTTATAATCCTCATTTATGAAGTGAGAAGGCAGTGATCTGGACTAACAAACACACTGAACAGAGCTCCACTTGGCTGCTGCAGGGGCCCCTGACAGTCTGCATCAGAGGCCCCTGCACTCTGTACACTGTAGAGCCAGGACATAACAGCTCAATTCAAAGTCTAGAGACAAACACCAACACATGTTTTTCACTGCAAAAGGTGACATGTATTGTATGTATTTAGTTACTGCTAATGAAAACTGAATATTTCCTACTTCAGATCAACACTACAATCAAAGCATTTTAATGGTGCACACAAACTGAATTTAAAGATTTTAACCACGACTCCTAATGAGCTGCCTTCCTAGTGGAGGTCTAAGAGCATTTTCTAATTAAGTATCTAATTATCATTATGGATTTAGCATCCTTTTCAGGAGTCTGTTCACACTAATATAGGCTAATAAAAATGACATTAATTTTGGAAGAAAGTAAAAAATATTGAACAATTATAGGCTAATTAGACCTAATTTAATTAATTTATTGTTTGTTTATTTTTTACACAGTATCTGCTTGGAAAAATTCTGGCCCTTGAACAAATGTAATTTTGCAGGTAGTAAGACCCCTGAGTTATGTGTTAGTAACTGAACGTGTGTAAAATAGGTGAAGTGCCCCTTTAAATGCGGCGCGTTGTCATTAGATGCAGTTCTTCTGTAATCCACCAGAGGTCAGTGTGAGCCAAGTCCTGTAGCCGGCACCAGTCTGAAACCCCTCTATCACCAAGAAAACACTACATACATCCCAGAAATAACACAGTATATCAGTGCAAAGCAAAATAATAGACAGTCTAATCTGTTTGTTGGTCTGTTATTATCAGTGAGCTCATCTCCCAGTATGTTTCATAACCGAGCCCTTATTACATGACCTAGTGCACACACACAGACACACACACAGTATGAGAGGAGAATGAAGGATAGAGTTACAGTGAGAGCGACTGTATCCAGGGTGAGATCATCAGACAACTGTTGTCTCATACAGATGGTGGATGGAGCTTTAAGCCAGGTGCTGCTCTATTGAACTCTACAGGAGCCACTCAGCTGATGTAACAACACTGTGGCGGCCATGTTGGACGTCTTTTATGTCTTCAGCTCCATGGACTGTTCATTAACCTGTCGACTTACCTGTTTGAACACACATAGACAGTTCTCTAAAGTTTTGTGGACAGAACTGGTCTTCACAGCACTCACCTGTCTGACTCAGTGTGTTTAGATAAACGCAGCGTGCTATTGCTAACCATAGGACTGGATTTTGGGCATGGAACTTCATTCTTGACCTGTGGTAGTTTTTAGTATTTTCTTCTGTCCGTTGGTTATGTGGCTCTACTTACTATTAACTGATTAAATTATATCAAAACGAGCTATATACACTGCAAAGCCTAACAGCATATCTTCATAAAAGAACTTAACATAACTTAATTCAGTTTATAAATGATCATATGCCAGATTCTTAATGATTGCCCTGATAGGTAAAGATTTGATGTTAGTCACATAAAAAACAAGTAGGCTACTGTTAACAACGTAATAACAGCAGTGACAATTAAATTAGTTGATCCACAGAAATTTAAATGGCTGCTACTTTGATAATCGATTTATTGTAAATTGTATCATCTGTCAGCAGTTTCAATAGGTAATGTTAATGTAGAAAACTGAGTAAATTCAACTTAAGTGGTAACATTTGTATAAAGAAGATGCAGTTTTTTGTGCTAAGATAAGCAACCTGCTGGCAACAGCTTCATAGTATTAATCTAGACTATTTCTCTAAAAAGACCAAAACTAAAAATGTGTTAGTTTCTCAGTACCTTACCTCTGTATTAAAGAGCAATTTTAGTATTTGTCATACTGGGTCCTATTTTCACACATTTCTGTGTCTAAGTGACTAATGGTGACAACAATTTGTGAAATTGGTCCAGCATTGAGCAAGTGTCAAACAAGCTGCAATTTAATGCTTTGTGCTTGTTGTTGCCATATTGTTACTTTAGGTGTCTGACAACATTATGGAAAGGATCCCTACAGAGACAGACCTTTTTGTGTAAGAGTAATAGAGAGTAACTTTTTGTTTAGTCAATATCGTGTCACAAAAAACAAACTTGTTTCATCATGTGATCATTAGTTCAGTTGTAGGTTGACAGAGAGACGGTATTGATGAGTGTGAAGGTATTTCTCCAAAGTCACATTGCTCTGGTAGGTGAAACATGGTCTACACGAAGACTTAATGTTCTTTTAAATATATTAAATAATAAATTAAATATTGAACTATAGAGGCTGTGTTCTGCCAGCAAGAAGCCTCCAGCACATCGTAAAGGGAGAAGTTCTGTACATTGTTGTAAAATAAGAAACTGCGTACTGCTGTAACTCAGGCGTATTGGTTACAGCTTTGACTAGAAGTCAGTTAGACAATCCACTGAAGAATCTGTCCATCTTCATAAGTTATGTAATGTCAGATGCTAATTTCTCCTGAGAAATGTATCCATCTGTGTTAGCCCTGTGTTTGAATGGTGGCCTCCCTTTTACCCAGTGCATGCTGGATTGACTTCAGACCAGGTAGGGGAGGAAAGAAAGAAAGAGAAGGAGAAGAAAGAAAGAAAGAAAGAAAGAGATTATTGCTCATACAGATCTGTGACCTCCCAGCTGACCAATAGCATGTAGCCTCCCTGATGACCTCAGAGCCCCTCCCTTGTGTGTGTGTGTTCAGTGATGCAGATGATCCACAGATCTGTGGTTGATCTGCTCTTCCCATCCCCCTCCAAAACTCCATTTTCCTCACACACAGTCCTTGATGGTAAGGGGGAGGGGAGAGTGGGAGGGAGGGGAGGAGGGGGTGTAGGTCATTAGTCAGTGGGGTGAAAAGGAGAGCAGTACACACACACACACACACACACAGAGAGAGAGAGAGAGAGAAGGGTGTGTGACTACAACACGTATCCATGACTTGCAGTGAGATCAATGTTTTTGATGCTGTATTGACGTCCAACAGAAAGCTCCATTATGACCAAAAACTAAGAAACACACTTGGGTCCGGATTAAAAGAAATATAT